CCCCCGTGACCGTGAGCCAAGTGTTCCCGGGCCGTGGTCTGTGCGAGAACACCCCCACCTCTGTCCACAGAGGGCTTCGCGGACTGGCACCCTAGGGCAGGGGCCTCGAGGCTCCAAGACGTAAGCCCTGCTCCCTCCCGTGCCTCCAGTCCCACTCTTGGACAGGGACCCCAGGCCAGAGGACCGCCTGGCTGTGGGGGCTGCCCTGCCCGGAAGGGGAGATACAGGCACTGCCCCTTCCCTGGAGAAGCCGGATGCTGGCTAGGCCCCAGGGGATCCGTGCCCGGGCTGGCCCCCCACCCCCGCATCTGGCCCCTAAAGAAGCCACCTGGGGTGCTGGGGCCAGCAAGGATCGCTGTGACAGGCGGTGCCCTTGAAGCAGCAGGCCGTGGGCTTGGCTGGAGGCCGCGCGACTCACCACCAGGATAAGTCTTGCCGTCTTCCCGAGCAAACCCTCGGGAAGGCGGGTGTGCACGCTCTCCCTCGAGGTGTCTGTAGGCCCCAGGGCCCCACACACCTCCCCAGATCCACCAGACCCCTGGGAACCCTGCCCCCGCTCAGGCACGGGGTGCGTTTTCGTGGGAAGTGCGCCCCACGGCGAGAAGCAGCACCAAGGCAGGGCACTCAGGTGTGCCTGGCCTTCGGGGCCCCTAGAATCCGGGGTGCAGTGAAGGCGGTTCCGGACCAGGGGTGGGGTGGGATGGCTGCTGGGGTTCCCGGAGGTGGTGTCCCACCTGCTCACGAGAAGCGGGGGCCAAGCCTTGTCCAGCCCCGCGTGGGCCCTGCCCGCCGCACACGGCTACCGTCCGGGGGCCGGGCTCGGCCCCCGGGAAGCCCAGGAGGGGGGCAGGTGCCCCCGGTGCCCCTCCTGAGGGCCAGGCTGGGTGGGCGGGAGGGCCCGTGGGGGCGTCCTGATGTCAGGCCGAGCCGGGCTCTGGCCGGACGTCTGGAGGCCTCCCAGGTGTCTGCGCCGGGCCCCCTGCACCAGGCAGGCCGGCACTGCGCCTCCACCGGGAAGCAGGGGACGAAGGGCAGTTGGGCCGAGGGGCTGGGGGGAAGCCGCACGGGGGTGGCCACAGCCTGCTGCAGGGGTGCCGGCGGGGAGGTGCAGGGCTGGACTGTGGTGGGGTCGAGGCCGGGGGACTCTTGTGGGGGATGGGGGTTCATGGGACCACCTACTGGCCCGGCCTGGCCCGGAGGCTGGAAGCCTGTGGGGCCACAGTCCCGGCTTTAGCAGAGGAACGGCTGGGAGCCGCTTGCACGTGGGGCTGGGGGTGACACGTGTGGGGGTCACCGGG